TTCCCCTATTTTTCTTCTTTATCTCTCCTACTTCTCTCTTTAACGTTCTGCTCCCTTTTTTCGTCTTTCTTCTTCCCTTTTCTTCTTCTTCTTCTTCTTCAAATTTAATACCTAATAATAATAAACAAATAATAATAATAATAATAATAATAATAATAATAATAATAATAATCACATTGGTTATATACATACATAAAATTAGATTACAAAAAACCAACATAATTATTTGTTAAATTGAATTAACAACAACAACAAAAATAATAAAAATAGAATACATACATAAATATTTGTTAAATTGAATTAACAACAACAACAAAAATAATAACAATAGTATACATACAGACAAAATTATAGTCATGCAAGAAATCAAATGAAACAAAAAAATGGGAAAAAAAAAACTTCCAGGTAACAACAAAACAGTAACAAAACATCTGTTTAGCAACGTAAAAACAACGGTTAATGCATAACAATTCAGAATGAAAACCCATTTAAAAATATTTATAAAATGCTATTTTCAACTCACAATATTTTTCAAATTATGATGCATACAATAAATATAATTTGATAGAAACAAGAGTTACACTGATTACATTAATCCTTCGATTCATCCAAATTTTCAAATTCTAAAACAAGAGATAGAGTTGAAATCGACCTTAGATACACATAAAAGTACACACCACGTGATTCTCAGTCGTGGACTGCGGCTCCGGCATCGGCTTGCGCGGGTGAAGGATGAAAAATCCCAAGACGGTTGAGTGTCTTCGACAGGTGAGGCTGATTCATTTCGGACACGAAGGCTCAAATTCAAGTCCAGATTCTTGCCATATAATGACAATCAATTTCCACCCAAATTCAAAAGAAAATTCAGAAAAAGTCAATACTCAAAAAAAGATGCATCCAAGAAATCACGGGACAACGAGGGTAATGATAAGCTTATTTTTTGTGAGGTTGTTAGAACATAGAAAGGTAAAAGAGGAGAGGAGGATGCGAATTCGAAAAATTTCGGCCCTTTCCCACTGCCTTTTTTTGTCATTTTTTCAATTATTGTACAATTGTACAATTTTTGTGGGCCGCTGCTATGGGCATGAATACTTTGTTCAAAGCATTGTAAGAATTAAAAAAAAAAA